GTGAGTTACTTTTGGTAAACTGAAGGAGTGGCTAAGTGTAAGGCCCTCATGGGCAGAGCCATGTCTGTTTTATTGAACAATGTGTATCTCCAGTACTCAGCCTGGCACTTACACTTCACTCATATTAAACAGTGAACAGACCTGCCCAAAACTGTGACATTATAAACAGGAAGAAATTGAATGTCCCGGGATAATCTGATTCACCTGTCCCCAGTGAATTTTTTTTTCCACAAGTAATCATGGGTCATCTGCTATGTCTGAGTGTGAGGAACAATAAATACAAGAATAAGTAAAACATGCTTTTTGTCTTCAAGGCACTTATAATTTAATAAAGAAGACAAGGGAACCTCACAAAGGTCCAGAGTATGAGGCAGACTGAGCCAAGCACTCTAGGAGATGCAACTGAAGTGCCTTGGAACAGGACAGAGCTTGATTTGACTGAGAAAAAATGAGTTCACTCTGTGGAGGAAGGTCAAGTTCATAGGATGAGCAGGATACCAGAAGCAGAGAGACAGCAGAAGTGATAAGAAAATGATGCAGCCAACAGCAGAGACTGTCCTGATCACACAGGGTGTTGGCTGGGATGGATGAGTCGCCCTTCCAGTCTGGCTGGAATATGAAGTGTGAGAAGGAAGATAAATAAGACTGGGAAAGTAGGCTGGGGCGTTTTCAAAGTTGGCGTTGTTTATCTGAGGAACTGTGGATCTCAAAGGTTGGCATGATGTTAAGAGGAATAAACACATCCTTATTCCTAATCTTGAAGCAAATATATCTTTTGCCCACACAAATGAAAAGTAATGGGTAAAAAATATTCAGTGTTGGGGCTGAGGTGTAGCTTAGCGCTAATATGTGTACCTGGCACGCTCAAGTCCTTGGGTTCAGTGCCCAGTACTCCCCACTCCCCAAAAAATTGTATTTGTGCTACAAAACCTATTCCTTCAGTTCCTATCTTTTGTGCCAGCATCATTTATCCCCACCCCCTTGCATACCGACTCCATTTCTTCAGTTAAAAAGTCCTTGACATATAGAACAATCTGATACAGATAGGTCTTGTTCTGCTGCACAAAAAAAGAAAAAACCTCATAGAACATACAGGATCCCAGGGTAACAGGGGCAAAATACAGCAATTAATTGCCAAAGGCAAGTGAGTATGCTCACTTGTAATGGATAGTAAGGTCAGCAGTTAATCAGAGTAGCCCGCCTGACCTATGGTGGTGGCTAGTTGATCACGGTGTTTCTAAAGGTGAAAGAGATGGACTATTAAGTCTTACATTCTCTGTATAATTGCAAGTTCTAGGTCAAATGAACAAGAGTCTAGCATGAATCACAAACTCACAGGCCCTCAGCCAACTCCTGAACTTGACTCAGTTTATAGACTTAGAATCACTTGAATGAAAGGAAGGCCAGGTCCCCTTGAGGAAGGACCCTCTCACATTGCCAACATTTTATATTATTAATTTCTCTCCCACCCTTCCCCAAAGCCCCAAAGGGATCTTTTACTAGGATGACTGTACCTTGGAGAAAAGGAAGTAGACATTTTAGGAACACTGCTTCTGAAATGACACTAATTCCAAGGCACACAAAATATCACCGTAGTCCAGAGTGATGAATGCAATTTTAGCTCATGTACATCTCACAGTGGGCCCAGTGGGTCCTGAACCCATCCTATAGCTCAGAAATGCATTGTTAGAATCACAATGCTCATCAGCTGGCATTATTACCACACTGGTCCCTGACAGTTGTTATGGTGGGAAAGGCCAAGTGGAAGCCACTAGAACTGCCTCTATCTAGAAAAATTAAGCCAAAAAAACAATACTGCATCCCTCAAGGGAGTCACAAGACGAAGACAGTGAAAGGGGTTTGAGTGATCCCTACTACATCCCCATATCCTAGGTTTAACAAGGTGGTAACTTCAATTGCAACTGCTGTACTGGAGATCAAACCCAGGGCTTTGTGTGTGCAAGGCAAGTGCTTGGCCACTCGCCAGCTGTGGTTTCACTGCTGGAGCCAATGGACACATCCTCTGGTACCTGGTACGCAGTTGTTAATCTGGCAAATGCTTTATGTTCGTATTTATCAAAAAAAGGCTACCAGAAGCAGTTTATTGGCAAGGTGAGTAATATACCTTCACTGTCTTATCTCAGGGGTCTACCAACTCTCAAGCCCATGTCATAATTCAGTTCACAGGGACCTTGATTGCCTTTCCCTTCCATAAGACATTACACTATGAAAACGTGCCGATTGGACCTATGAAGCAGGAAGTACCAATAACTCTACTGTTAAGATATTTACTTGCCAGTGAGTGGAAGATAAATCCAATAAAAATTCAGAGACCTACCACCTCAGTGGTATGTGCAGGGGTCCACCGGCGTGAGACATATGCCAATGTCCCTATTACTATGAAGGGTAAATTGTTGGATCTGGCCCTCCTACAACCAAGAAAGAGGTACATCACCTAGTGGGCCTCTTTGGATTTTGGAGGCACCATATTTTTCATCGGGATGTTACTCCAGCCAATTAACCAAGTGACCTGAAAAGCTTCTCGCTTGGAGTATGGTTCAGAACAAATGAAGGCTTTGCAATAGGTGCCAGCTGCTTGGCACCTCTGCTTCTTGGGCCTTATGACCTGGCAGGCCCCACAGTGCTTCCAAAGTGTCAGTGGCAGGCAGAGAAGCTGTGTGGACCCTGTGGCAGGCCCCTCTAACTGAATGGCAGTGCAAGTCCTTAGGATTTTGGAGCAAAGCCCTACCATTCTCTGCAGATAACTACTCTTCTCTTGAGAAACCAACAGCTCTTGGCCTGCTGATGGGTATTAGTAGAAGGTGAAAGCTTAACCATGGGTCGCCAAGTTACCATAACACCTGAGTTGCCATTCATTTCTTTGGGACAGTTCCACTTTGTGCCTATGACTCCAACTACTAACTACCTCCTCCTACTACCTTCTCTTACTCTTCAATAAACCATATGGTCATCCTACGCTCAATTGCCCTGTGATTTGCATAGAAATGTCTACTCATTCTAGCCTGTAAGGTTACTTGAAATTAAGTATCATATCTTTCCTTCAGTAGATGTCTACTGAGCACCTATAATGAGCTACAAATTGTACAACATGCTTATCTGTACATCTTTATGTGCCCACATCACTTCAAGAGCTGGGTCAGTTTGAGGACTGACAAGAATGTAGACTGGAATGGGGACAAGGTTATTCTCCTGTTGGTTTACTAAGGATACAAATGGGATCAAGAACATTTAGTGTACTGGTGGAATGGCTCAAGTGGTAGAGGGCCAACCTGGCAAGTGTGAGGCCCTGGGTTCAAACTCCAGTACCATAAAAAAAAAAAAAAAGAAAAAAAGAACACTTAGTGTTAGGGTTACAGTTCAGAGATAGAGTACATGCTACTATGTGTGGTCAAAGCCCTGGGTTCCATCCTCAGCATCAAAAAAAACCCCAGGACAAAACATAAAACACATGGTGTCAGAATGGATGTGTTTTCTGGGGACTTCCCTTTTCCTGGTAGAGGTATACTTCAAGTTTAGGATGTGTGTAGGGTGAGAAACTCAGAAGTTTGGCTCACTATCTTTTAGGCTGGTGAGAAGGGGGGGGGGGGAGTGGCTATCACTCAAGGTCCAGGTTTTGGGATCCTATTTCCTTGCCACATCACAAATACCTAATCTAGCTATTAATGTAATATTTTTCTCTCATTATCATTGAGTCTACTTAAGAAGTCAGTATAACCACCAGTCATGACCACCCAGAAAGACATTCAGGAAAAATTAATGAAAGAATTTAACAGCATTGTATTACTTATGAAAGCCACAGAAAAATCTGGGGCTAGGCATGAAGGTTATATGCCTATAATCCTGGCTACTCGGGAGGCGGAGATAGGAAGGACAGGAGTCCAGCCTGGGCAAAAGATAGTGAAACTACTTCAAAAATCAAGTTGGGTGTGGTGGTACATGCCTGTGGTCCCAGCTGCTCAGGAGGTGAAGGTAGGAAGGCATAGCTAGCTTCTGCAAAACAAACGCAACAGGACTGAGGACTTGGACAGGGGTGGAGTGCTCACCTAGTAAGTGCAAGACCCTGAATCCTCAGGATTGCACAGACAAAAGCTCAAGTGGTAAAGCACCTGCCTTCCAAGTTCAAGTCACAGTACTGCTCCCACCCCCCCAAAAAAAAAAACAGAACAAACTTTAATTACCTTACCTAGCTAAATGGAAATATAGTGCTAAAAACTTAAGTGACTTCTAGGATGTTCTTCCAACTCAACCATTAATCTGCTAAATGTTTCTTTGATACCGCTGATAGAGACGTCTTTTTCCTTCCCCGTATGTGTTGGTATCTGTTCTTCCAATGTAAAACACTCTTGGAAAATAAACTAGTACCAATTGAGTTCATAATAAATTTTATAAGAAAAGGCTGTGATTTTCAAGTATTTGGAACAGTTTTCAGAAATAAATGACAAAAACACATACAAATACTGAAATTATTCTTTGAACCATGACCCTTAGCAGACAAAGGGAATTTTGAAGTATTTGAGTTCACCCTTTTCTGAAAGCACAAATCACTTCTAGAGCATCTCTTACATACTGAACTGACCTCTTTAAATCTTTCCTAAGTCTGATGTACTTCATCTCATAAAAATAACACAAACCACTTAAAATCATTTAAAACAAAAGGAAGAGTAAAATTGGGGATGAGAGAAAGGTCACATCTTGGAAGTAGCTTTGCAATATTCACAGCACAGTACTGGCTTCATAACCAAGCATTCTGTGCAATTGCATTATTTATGTATGGAAAGCTGCAATCATCTTCCTCTATAAAAACTAGCAAACTGGGTTGGGCACAGTGGCACACACCTGTAATTCTAGCACTTGAGAGACTGAGGCAGGAGGATCATGGGTTTGAGGGCAGGCTCAAAAAAAAAGAAAAAGGGACGTTATACTATTCAAGTACATTAACTTCATTATACTTCATATAGTTTGATACTTGGAATGAGGATGAAACAAAAAAGAACTAGCATAGAACTGTTAATAAAAAACTTTAAAAGATTAATTATCGTCAAATGAAAAATCAACCGTTAACACAAACTTCTGATTACATAAATAATTTCTATTTTTTACTAAAAACTTCAACTGTCAGAAGATTCTGATTAAAATAAAGAAAAATATAAAACTGGAACAGGAAGTAAACGTGATTATTTGGTTCATCTCGGAAGGTCTACTGGTCCACCTGCCAGCCATGCCAGTCTCCGGGTTCTCAGCGGAGTGTGACCAGTTCTTCTGAAGAGGTGGGGTGAATGGCAACTGTGTTATCAAAGTCAGCCTTCGTCGCTCCCATTTTCACTGCAACAGCAAAACCCTGCAGCATCTCATCACACCCAATTCCCTGCATGTGGATCCCAACCACCTGGAAAAAGAAAAAAGAGAGAAAAAGAAAATAATGCAGCTGAAACAGCTTGGCAGATCCTCAAAGTTAGACCAAAAGTGGACAGGTTATCTCAGAAAAAAATATTTGAACATATTTCTTCATTGTTTTATTATGTTAAATTAAAAATGTCTTATATTAATATATTAAATCCTTACAGTTACCAGGATTTCTTAGTTTCCTGTATGGCCTGTTGGTCACTGATGAGAAGCTTTAATTGGTTTTTGATCTTTCCTTCTTATTTTAATTTTTTTTTGGTGGTACTGGGGTTTGAACTTAAGGCTTCATGCTTGCTGGGCAGGCACTCTACCACTTGAGCCACTACACCAGCCCTGCCCTGCTTTGTGATGGGTTTTTTTAAGATGGGGCCTCATCAATTATTTGCCTGGGCTGGCTTTGAATTGCAATTCTCCTGATCTCTGCCTCCTGAGTGCCTGGGATTATAGGTGTGAGCCACCACTGCCTGGCTTCTCAATTTTAAAAGAAGAAAAATCTTCTTTCTAAATTAAATACTGTGAAGAATTCCAAAATATATTAAAAAAGAGATAAAAGTTTTTCCCATACCTTCTCCTCTTTGTTGGCACAAACCATTTTCATCACGCATTTCGTTTTCCTTGTGGTCACAGCATGATACATCGGCGTAAAGGTGGTTGAGTAGATCTTTATATTGTCTTTTCCATATTTATTAATGGCCTCATCTGTAATAGACATTTAAAAAAGCATTTATCAAAAAACTAAACAATTATACTGAGCTATCAAAGAGAGAGATGTCCAGAAATATGTAACCCAAATCAAACCAGGAAGTATCAAACAATACCAAAACAGCTGGGAATGGTGGCTCATGCCTGTAATTCCAGTACTCAGGACGCTGAGGCAAAAGGCTAAGGCAGGCCGGAGCTATATATCAAGATCTGGTCTCAAAAAGCCAAAAATCAAAACCAAACAAAACCTTATAAAAATAAAGACACTATACAAAATAAACATTAATGTCACCAAAGGCAAAAGAAAGGTTGAAGAATTTTGTCTCTAGATTAAAGGAGACAAGAGGTAGAAAAACTACATGTAATACATTGTCCTGAACTGAATTCTGGACTTGGGGTGGGGAAAATGTTGAAAGTGACATTTGAGCAAAATTTGCATAAGGTCTAAAATTTAGGTAGTATTACATGAATTACAGTTTATTTTTTTAATCTTCAGAATTGTATCATGAAAGGAATAGCCTTGCTCTTAAGAAATATATACTGAAGTGTGTGTGTGTGTGTGTGTGTGCAGAGTAGGAATATGATAAAGCAAAAATATTAAGGACATACAGGAGTCCTTTGAACTTTTTTTTGCAACCTTTCTTTAACTTTGAAATTTTAAATAAAAGCACTAAAACAAAATCAGAGAGATAAACAGGGTAGCGTGGGGAAAAGAAACTACTCATAAAGAATTATCAACTAAGGAATAAGGAAATTGCAACTGCAATTAGAGACTAGCCAAAAAGCGGAGTAATTTGGGGGCTAAGACAGATTTAGAGGGTCGACAGAGACCTAGTGGAAAGAAGGAAGCCATCAACAGCCTTTGCTTTCACACCTACCTTCTGTGAGTCCTACTGTCCCAATAGGGGGGTGGCTGAAGACCACAGTGGGGATGTTGTCATAGTCTAATTTGGAATCTTCTTTGCATTCAAAAATTCTGTGGGCGAGTTTTCGGCCAGCAGCTATTGCAACTACAAAGAAACTTTAAAATCAGTTTTTATCTAATTGTTCCTTATAACACAGCAGAACTGTTCCACAAACCAATTATCTGACATAACATACTAGTTCTTAAAAACCTTTACACCAATGCTCATTATAATATTTAAGTTCAATAATGAAAATGTGTCAATGCCTAATGAACAGTTCAAAACTAATGGCTTATATGAACCCTGTACATTCTATTATGAAAAAAAAAGACACCGGCAAAATCTCAATCATCTGGCAGTTAATCTAATGAGAACATTAGCTTTTGGGTACAACATTTATAGAACTAGATTAACTTTGTACATTTTCATTTCTACTTTATAACCACATTTATTTCACAGTAAGACTGAACTAAAAAGTTTATTCTCCCACCTTGTACAATAAAAAATTAATAAAGTTCAGAATTAGTAGAAATAAAAAATTTTAAAAACAAAAATAATGAATTTATTCTCCTTAGCCTGTTTTTATTGTTAACTCTGTGAAAAAAAAAAGGACTGAGTCCAGTAAAAGCATCAGCTATTAATTTTATTGATTTTAAATTGACAATTTTTCCCTAAAGGAGACATAACTGATATATACATAAGAAATTTTCTTCACTGTGACCTAATTTCTTAATGTTTAAAATTCTGCTTATTTTTCTTTTGTTAAAACAACTTCCTGTCAAAGGATAACAAGACGTCAATTAGGACCAGTAAGTTCAAGAGATCTTCTGTACAACATGGAGCCCTATTGTTAATAACTGTTATCATATACTTGAATATTGCTAAAAGAGTAGATTCTAAAGTGTTCTTGCTAATGTAATATGTTAATTATCTTGGCACAGTCCTCCACAAAATATAAGCTTTTCAAAACATTGTGTGCTTCACCAGAAATATTTACGGTTTTAATTAAAAAGCAAGCTGGAGGCTTAGAGGTATAGCTAAAGTGGTAGAGTGCCTGCCAGCAAGTGTGAAACCTTGAGTTCTAACTCCAGTACTGCCAAAAAGAAAGGGAAAAAAAGAAAAAGAACAGGCATGATGGCATATACCTGTCATCCAGGCACTGGGAGCAAGAAGGAGAATTAGGAGCTCAAGATCAGTCTGGGCTACATAGTGAGACCCCATCCAAAAAAAAGGAGGGAGAGAGAGACCTTCCAAAGTGAGCTAAAATGCTTTGGGTGTGTGACAGGATAGATTTCCATCCTGAGGTAAGACCCTAGGCCATTTTGTAAAGTCTGGTGGGCAAAGAGCTAGAAATGTGCCCCTTAAGTCAGGAAGTGAGTTGAGATATAGGATGAGGGAGGGAAGGGGAAGTCAGACTTGGTTGCATCAAGACTAATCACTCATACAAGAATACTGACCTAAATTATTTCTTCCAATAGCCCCTTCCTCTGTCTCACAGAATTCTTCAAGGGTGACCTATATCGAAGGGTCATCTATATGAAAACTATAGTCTTCATTTTACTAAGTCTTTTAAGGAAAAAAGTGGCTTATTATTCAGGAAATGTTAGCTGTCTAACCAACATGTGTTTCAATACATGTTTACCATTTTGAGGTCATAAAGACACTCACCATTTTCACTTTGCTGAAGTGGATTTGACTATGAAAAGTTGGATAGTTTTATACAGCACACAACACCCCCTTCCCAAGAAAGGATGATGTTATTACCTGGAGTAAGAAGAGCTTTTCCACAGACATCTCCAACTGCATAGATACCTTTGACATTGGTATTCTGGAATTCATCTACTATAATATGACCTTTCTCATCAGTTTGAATTCCCTAAAATTAAGAAGGAACATCATGTAAATACTGGGCCAGTGTACTAAAGATGGCAGATCAAAACTCTGGATCTGTCACATTTCACAGCCATACCCCTTCAGTCTGAATATCTAAGAAACCACAAGACTCAACTTCAACATGAAAAGCATTTCAAATAGGCAAATTTTGTATCCTTTGCTTAATGTAAAAAGTAAAATATTTTACCCAATTTTGAAGTGCTTTAACAGCATTTGATATTGCAATATACAAATCAAATGATCAGGAAACATGGAAAGAAATCACTCAACTATCAGACATACTACTTGGTAACACTGTGGGGTCCATTTAAAACAGTGCATTTCAACTGTTTCCATGGAAGTACTCTTCCTGGGCAGGTTAACCTGCATCTTAGGAGGGACACAGTTTGGAGCAGTCACCAAAGACACATTCCTTTGAAGTATATAATTTATCTTAAAAACTCTGGGTGTCAGTGGCTCATGCCTATAATCCTAGCTACTTAGGAGGCAGAGATAAGGAGGATTGTGGTTCGAAGTCAGCCTAGGCAAACAGTTTGCGAGACCCTATATCAAAAAAAACCCATCACAAAACAAAGGACTGGTGGAATGGCTCAAGGTGTAGGCTCTAAATTCAAGCCCCAATACTGTAAGCAAAACAAAACTCTCCAAAGCTGGGCACTGGTGGCTCACGCCTATAATCCTAACTACTTGGGAGGCAGAGATCAGGAGGATCAAGGTTTGAAGCCAAGCCAGCCTAGGAAAATAGTTTGTGAGACCCTATCTCGAAAATACCTAACAAAAAAAGAAAATACCTAACACAAAAAAGGGCTAGCAAAGTGGCTCAAGAGATAGAGCACCGACCCAGCAAGCATGAGGTCCTGAGTTCAAACTCCAGTGCCGCCAAAAAAATCAAAAACCAAAATAACTCCAAGCAAATTGTATAATCTACTCTAAAACATACTGTTTCCCATAACCACAATTTTTTCCTCTATGTTGAGTCATTTTTGCTCTAAGATATGTTGTGCTTACATTGTGGCTTTGCACATTTCAGGTAGATATACTGCAGTGTAAGAAGGAGCGGTACAGCAGAAGGAGGAAGTATATGTATAGAACCACAGTGGTTAAGGATACAACCTTTGGAATTGGGGGTTAGCTCAGAGGTTAAGAGTACATTTTAGCATAAGAAAGTCACTCTGCTCAGAAAACTAATAGTAACGATTAATGGTAAGACATAGCCTTTTGCAGAAACGAAAAGAAGTCCACATTATAACAGAAATTAGTATTAGCACATAAATCAAAATATTACATACCACTCTAAGACTTCATCAAAAATAGAAACCTCAGGGATGGAAGTATGGCTCAAGCAGTACAGCACCTGCCTAGTAAGGGCAAAGTCCTGAGTACAACCCCCTACACACACAAATTCCTCAAAGATAAAACATTCTAAGCTGGACGTGGTGGTGCACACCTGGAACCCCAGCTGTGAGGGAGGCAGAGGCAGGAGGATAATGACTGTGAGGCCAGCCCAAGCAAAGTTAGGGAGACCCTATCTCAAAAACAAAATACAAATATAAAAGAGCTAGAAGTATGGCTCAAGTGTTAGAGTGCTTGTTTAGCAAGCCAAGGCCCTGGGTCCAATTCCCTAAGGGGAAAAAACAATCCTGTTATTGCTAACAGAATAGCACAGATAAACCATCAACAGCAAGTTAAGATTTATGGTGCTTATGCTCTAAGCCATAACCTTGCATGCCTTTTTCATGTGTTATTTTCTCTAACCCAATGAGGCAAGTGCTATTTGCATTCCCATTTGTATATGAAGCAATTAAAACTTAGACAATTAAGATGCTGTTCAAAACAATACAAGTCATAAGTAAAAGAACTAAAGTTTAAATTTGGGTCAAACTCTGAGAACCACACCCCAAGTCACCATATTAGACTTTACTTCAAAATATCAAAAACCAAAGAACTCGGTCTGTGCACATAGCATTGGTGGAGCTGAGAGACAGTGTCACATCTGTTCCTATCCCCCAGTACTGCAATGTCCAGGATGAGGAAGACACTCAGTAATCTGGCTCAGATACTATACAGTATGGGCACAGTACAGGACTTTAAAGTTACCGTCACAGAGCAAAAAGAAGTCTGCAAGAAGGAAGCCAGTTAGGAAACCGCTAGACAATCTGGATGAGAACCCCTCCAGTTCAATCGGGGTCCTGATCCAGGGGATGATACTAGAAAGGGAAAATATTTTGAAAATATTTTGAAGCAGTGGGACTTGATCCCAAAGTGGATACATGGAAGAAGGGAAGAAAATTAAACCCACCCAAGTTTTGCATGGGAGGGGGATACAGGGCTACTAACGGATTCAAGACAGTTTGAGAAAGACCAAGTCTGCTTACCAGTTTGTTTAAATTCAGGCTCTTGGAATTTGGATCCCGTCCAATGGCCCAAAGCAGGCAGTCAACATTGGGAATGGTGGTCGAGGTGGGTTTCCTACCAGGAGCTGCAGTAACCATGTATAGTTCCAAGCCTGCTGGAGTCTTTTTAACTTCCTTGACCTATTTAACAAATAAAATGTGTTAGGTGTGTGTGGTGGGATGGGGCGGGGTTGGGGAGGAGGAAAGAAAAAAAAAAAAAAGAACTTTTAACATTTACAAAAATCTTTACTGAAATCTACAGCTGAAATAGACATTTACTTGCAGCCCAGACCAATACTGGAACTCCAAAGAACCAGTCCTCTTTCCTCACGCCTGTAATTTTATACTTGGGTGGATGAGATTAGGAGGATTTTGGTTCGAGGCTAGCCCGGGCAAATAGTTCATTTCCAAAATAACTAAAACAATAATGGACTGGAAGTGTGGCCAAGCAGCAGAGTACCTGCTTTGCAAGCACAAGACTCTGAGTTCAAAACCCAGTACCAGAACTGAGGGAGTGACTCAAGTGGCAGAGAACCTACCTAGAGTTCAAACCCCAGTACTGAAAAAAAAAAAGAAAAAGAAAAACCCCAGTACCAGGGGAAATCTTTCCTACAATGACCAGGAACGTCAGCCGATGTTACCACCAAAATGCTCTAGCTTGAAAAAGTACTTCTAAGTGTTCTTCAAAACTGTGTTAATACTTTAAGTCATATGTCTAGGCATGGTGGCTTGGAAATGGACCATAGCAGTATCAGTAGGAAACTTGTCCCAACTGCAGTCATTGCTTCTTATACATTCAGAATCAGGAAGAGTAGTTAAGAGTCCAATAAGGAGAGCCAAGTACATAGTTATCCCTCAGTATCTGCAGGGGACTGGTTTTAGGACCTTCCACAGATATCAAAACCCATGATGCTCAAGTCCCTTAGTCCATTTTATGTAGTGGAATAGTACCTCATATAAAGTGTATATAAACGACATACATCTTGTATGCTTTAAATTATCTTCAGATTCCTTATGATATCAAATACAATGTAAGTGTCGTGTAAATAGTTGCTAGGTTGTATATTTAGGGAATAATGGTAAAATAAAAAGCCTATACATGTTCAGTACAGACTTTTTTTTTTTGTATTTTTAATCCACAGTTGGTTGAATCTGCAGATACAGACCCCATACAAACATAGGGTCAGCTGCACAGTGAGGTCCTAAGGTGATCCTGGTGGTAACCCCTATCACTAAACCAGCACTTTTTTTTTTTGGTGGGACTATGGTTTGAACTCCAGGCTTCACACTTGCAAAGCAGACACTCTACCACTTGAACCACACCTCCAGTTCTAGGTCAGCAGTTTTTGCATCACAAAACATGTTCTCATTTATCACTTTACTTAACATGGTCTATGTTGAAAGAGTAGCATTTCCCTTTGGGGAAAAGGAATCACTTTTATAAAGTTAATTCTCTAGGAAAATTCTGCTAAAATTCAAGTTACTCTCTGAAGTACCTGGTAATTCTTTCCACCTACAAAATCTGAAAAGTTATGCCTTAAAAATGGATTCCATACCATTTCCTAAAAAATAAATATAAATCTGAAAAACAAGGACATGCAAAAAGGCTCCTGAGCACAAGCATCAAAGTATTAGTTCAACCACCAGGTTTCTAATCTTTTACGCCTTGACTTCATTATGTGAAATACAGCTTCTTAAGAACGGAAATAACTGGCAGTATTACAGAAGTGGAATAGTTGAGGTAAATGCAGAGCTTGTGTTTACAAAACTAATTGGGTGCTGAGGCTACAGCTCAGTGGTAAGAGAGTTTACTTAGCATGTGTGAGGCCCTCGGTTCAATTCCCAACAACGAAACACACACACACACACACACACACACACACGTAATTGGGTGAAGCCAACAGCAAAAAGTGTGATCCATGAGTGACACTTGAGGAAGGGCTCTGTGGGCCGTGAGTGCACATACCTGAGAGTACTTCAAGACCTCTACACCAGCATTCTCCAGCTCTTCAGTGCAGTTGGAACTAATCAGGGAATCAAAATTTCTAAGAACCTGCATTTAAACAGGCAGCAGAGGGATGGGTGGTGGGAAGGAAATTAAAGTTGGTTAAAGACATGCTACAAACTTGGGAGGGAAATTTCAGTCCTGTCTCATCCTTTCTCTTATGTCCTTCACTCACGCTCATATTGGGAGCAGAATTTTAATAAATCCTCTATTTTCCTACATCACCATTATATGCCTGTACTACATCTGACTTTATCAACTCCTGTTTCCTAATTAAAAAATAAAACAGATAACCAACTTTCAGACCTCTATCCTCATATTCTTTACCTTCAAGCTTGTTTCTCTTTTCCTTAAGTAGAGGCAAAAGGATCTGTAAGAGTCTGGGGCCAGCTTTCCCTCTGACATAATTTAAGGGAAGGTTCTCTAGTCTATATGACTAGAAACAACAGCTTATCCTGGGAGATATGTCTGTCGTAATCCACAGACACCATATCTAAGGAAGGTCTGAGTTATTTAGAGTACTTTAGATGGAGTTACAACTGGAGAATTACCTTGGGATGGAAAAGGGCAAAAGCCAAGCAGATGTGGCTTTCTACAAGTGAACCGATTTTCCAAATGCAAGAATTATCCACTGTACTGATAAGACTGTGGCAGTTTATTTATTTATTAATTAAATTCAGGCTCACTATCCTTCTGCCTTTCTTCTTTCTTCCAATGTGCTGTATATATTCTGGTAATGCAAAATCATGTCTATGATAAAATATTATTATTCTGGACAGATCTCCCAAGAGTTAATTATATGACACAGTTCAAGCCAAAAAAAGTTCTGGGACACTGACTAAGACTCTTGTAATCTTTATTTGTCTAAGTACAGAATTATAGGGCTAGGGATGTAGTTCAGTGATAGAGTACTTGTCCAGTAAGCAAGAGGACCTGGGTTCAATCCCCAGCACTGAAAAAACATTAGAATCACAGCATTTGATTGGTTGGGGGTCTGATAAACCTGTCCCTGCTGACCTAAGTCCCAAAGGCATTAAATGATCTGGCTCAAGTCACACTCTGTTAAGGACAGCCAGCAGTGGGACCAGATTTTGGGGCCAACACTCTTGTTTCTGCCCCACCCCAGGTCTCAGAAAGCTCTAATATAGTAGGCTACAGTACAGTAGCAGAACTCAATACCCATGAACAGCAGGTACAGATAGCCAACACTTGGCCAAGCAATGACAAACACCCAGGTCACATCTAAACAGAAAGCAGTGGGTGGGCCTTTCAAAAACCTCGGCCAACTCTAGTTCTACTTCTGTACAGCCACAAAACCTCTCTAGGATTTCATTTCTTCATGTTTAAAATGAAATTCAAAAGCCACGCATGGCGGTGCACACCTATAATTCCTGCTACTCTGAGGCTGAGGCAGAAGGAGCAAGAACTCAAGCCAGCCTAACTTCCATGGTGTGACCCTGTCTCAAAATAAAATTTAAAAAAGAACTGGAGTGTAGCTCACCTATATAGTGTTTGCCTAGCATATGTGGAGTCCTGGGTTCAAGCCCCAGTATAGTAAAAATTTTTAAAAAATAAGAAAGGAAGGAAGGAGAGAAGGAGGGAAGAAGGAAGGGAGGAAAGGGGGAAAAAAGAAATTTAAGGTGATGAGCTACAAGGTTTCCTTTAAGACAAAGAATTTAATGAATTGTTTTGACTTAGTGCTAACAATTCAAAATATCTTTTTATATGAAACTAATTTCCAGAGTTATAAAATTAGCCTGATAGAAAGTAACATTTATATTCAAGCCTGCATGTCTCCTTATTAAGATCTTCTGGTAATTACTTCATGATGAAAATACCAACCAGTTGGGTCATCTCAGAATTATCACCCTCAACCAGCAGCTTGAAGGGAAATAAAGTCTACTTAAAATAACTGGCACACAGCCCCATGTGGGACAGACCTACTGACATGACCTCCATCTACTAGCATTTAATAGCAATGTAAGAAAAAACTCTTTCTCTTAACTAAAAAGAGAAAAGTCAAGGAAAGGGAAGAGGAGAGGACAGGACTCACTTTATCATGTCGGATCATCAGCGATGTCTTAGAGCCCAGGGCGGAGAGAATCCCAGCTATCTCCACAGCAATGTAACCCGCACCCACAATGACACTGCGCCTAAGATAAAAGCAGACAGTTAACATTTTTAATAATCTGACTTTGGAATGAATTCGGATTTATAGATAAGTTGCAAAGATAGCATGATATTTCATGCTGATGCCTTCGCTCAGTTTTCCTTACATTTGTCAAAACTAAGAAATTAACATTAGTACTATTGACTAGAACTCAGATTTCACCAGTTTTTCCATTTTTCTTTTTCTGTTTCAAATGTCACATTTGCAGTTTGAAGTGGGAAATGTCCCATTGTAGAAGAAGGAAATACATGTTTTAAAAGTTCCGCTTCCACATTTCTTCTGAGAAGATGCAAAAACCTTTGAAACCAGAGAGGATTCCTTATGCAATGATCCTTGCTACTAAAACTAACATTGGATCTGTGGTTCTCAGCACCATTATCCTCCTATGTTGAGTATTTCTCCTATTTGAGCAAGTCATTTTACCATGTTGGATACATGTGCAAGTCATTTTACCATGTTGGATACATGTGCAGTCATTTTAACATGTTGGATACATGTGCAGTCAAATGAAACTTTCTTAAGCTCTAGTCAAATTCTTGGTGAATGTCTGAATTCACCCAATCATGAAGAAGCTCTGATTCTGGACTTTACTTCTATGCTGGATGCTAGTGGCTCAGGCCTGTAATCCTAGCTATTCAGGAGGCAGAAATCAGGAGGATCTTGGTTCAAGGCCAGCCCAGGCAAATAGTTCTTTGAGACTGTATCTCAAAAAAATCCTTCACAAAAAAAGTGCTGGTGGAGTGGTTCAAGGTGAAGAAGGCCCTGAGTTCAATCCCCAGTACTGGAAAAAAAAAAAAAAAAAAAAGCCTAAGGAGTAAGAATCCAGCAAGGTGAGGTGGCATACATCCGTAATTCCAGCTACTGGAGGGGGGAGGCAAGAAGATCATGAGCTTGAGACCAGCCCAAGAAAAATGTAGCAAGACCCTATCTGAAAAACAAAAGTGTGGTTCAAGTTGCAGAGTGCTTCCCTAGTGCAAGGTCCTGAGTCCAAACCCCAGTATCTGGGGGAAAAATATTCCACAGCTATTGCAGCTAGTGTCCTCAGGGTTATGTCCTCTTAAACTTCAAACATAACCCCTCCTATTGTTACAATGTCTAGGTAAGAAGCACTTAGGGAAAAGACAAAGGAAATCTTCCTCCAACATCTTCTATAGGCAAAGTACCCAGGCTGTGAGTCCTAGCTTTCAGAGAGCTCATGGTCTGGACTGAAGATAAAATAAGAACTCAAATGGCTACAAGTTCCGGGTGATGCCCCTTTTACCCTACAATCTGGAGTATGAATAAAAGTTCCAAACCTATGAAATACCTCTTCTTCTATCTCTACCTCCCTCATCCCTAAGGTATGTTGACTTCTTTTCCTTTCTGTAGGTCTTCCCTCTGCTCTTCTTTTAATCCCTCCATCTTACCTTTCTTCCCTGGACATGTACTATCTAAGTGCTAGGCACTGCACTAGATGGGATGGGTAATGGTCCCTGCCCTTGAGGAATTTCTGAAGGGAGAAACATGCCCTTGGGTTGATCAACGAGGAGGTTCAGTCAGTTCTTGCAGATCAGAAAATGCTGATTTGTTAAAGATGAATGTCTCTTACAGGGGCCAAGGAAGCAGTCCAAGCAGAGGGGACATATGAAAAGCAGACATGCAATGAAAAGCAGACATGCAACATGGCTTCTTCAGGAGATCTTGAGGAGCCTCATGCTTCCCCTCAACCTCTAGTGGCACCTTCATGCCACCTCCTGCCACCAAAGAAGCCTCTGGAAATGATCTTTCAAGCTGCCAAATCCCTCAAAACACTACTCCCCCAGAACGACTTGTGCCGCAGCCTTCCACAGCCTTCATGCTCCAACTCCATCCACCTAGAAGCCCTCTGAGGGCAGAATGGAATGATACAGCACACAGCATACGGCACCTACAGCACTTTTCCTGACTTACTTATTCATCAAAATTCTAACAATAAAGGAGTCTTGCAAGAGAAAAAAAGATTAGCTATCTCTCTCTCTCTCTTTTTTAAAGATGGTTTCACTATGTAGCCCATGGTGGCATCAAACTCACTATCCTACTGCCTAAGCCTCCCAAATGCTAGGATTATAGGTTTGTAATCGATTGCTATTATTGGGGGTTCTTTGAGATGGAGTCTCATCTCATCATTTTGTTAAGGCTGGCCTCCAACACCTGGGCTCAAGCGATCCTCTACCGTAGCCTCCCAAGCAGCTGGGACTATAGGCATGTGCTAATAGTAGCACATTACCAGTTCAACTGGTAACTTATCTTCCTGCATTTCCAGAGCCTTTGATGTGTAACATGCACAAATTTATTCATTAAGCTTATATTCATGTCAATAAGCTTATTAAATGGTTTAAAAATATCTAGTTGACAGGTAGCTATAATAAAACTTGCTTGAGAGAGAGGCTAGATTGATTTACACCATCTAAACATGATGAATCATGATCACATTTCTGGATGCATTCTCACATGTGTCATATCATTAACTCTAAAAACCAAACAGTACAGGATGGATCATGAGGAAGAAGGCTGCTATCTAATGCATTTCCACACTCTCACAGCAAACCCATAAAGACTCTATGCTCTTCTCAGGACTCCTCAAAGTCAGAAGACTGCCTGGTCTGAAGATCTTCATGGGGCATTTTTCACTAGAGCTATGGAACTACAAAGCAGCCCTCTTGTCCTTCATTACCTGTCTGTGGCTCAGGTGAGTTAAAGTAAAGGCACATGCATTGCTCATTAGTCACTGATGATTCCTAAGAGCCTGTGTAAAAGCATGGCTTAGAATCTTACGCTGGCTTGGCAGCAGCCACAGAACAGGCAACACATTGAGCAATACCAACCCTGGAGGGCAAGTCAGAGGAGACAGGCCAGGTGCCGAGCCACAGGGCTGCCCCTTCTGTTCATCTCTTACCATGAATGAAGGGAGGATCTCTCTAACCCAAAAAGCCTGCAATGTGCAGCACCTTCCAATCAATCTAAATCTAGGTCAAAAGTTTATTACCACAAATGCTCATAAAGAACAATGGCAGTCAGGCTTGTGGTATACACCTGTAGTCCTAGCTGCTCGGGAAATTGAGGCAGGAGGGTTGTAAGATCCTAGGAATTTGAGGCGAGACACCATTCTCAAGAGAATAAGATAATGTAGAAAGTGTATTCTGTGAGGCTGATGGAGCTTTCATTTATGGAGAATCAGTTACCTTACACATATTATCACTGGATGCTAGACAAACTTATCTGTGTCCTGAACACTGCAACATTCTCTGACAAAACATGGAGGACTCTACTGAGGGGGGCTAGTGGCAACCTACTCAAGGTCAAAAAAAGAGATGTGATTTCAGCAAGTGCATATAAATGGCTAGGAGGAAGAAAAAGAGACATGTTACCTGGGTGTGGTGACTTTGGTCTATAGTCCCAGCTACTGAGGCTAAGGTGCTTGGCTCACTTGAGTCCATGAGTTTGAGACTAGTCTGGCAACGATAGCAAGAACTTGTCTCAAAAAAGAGAGAAGAGAAGAGAAGAGAAGAGAAGAGAAGAGAAGAGAAGAGAAGAGAAGAGAAGAGAAGAGAAGAGAAGAAGAGAAGAGAAGAGAGAAGAATAGATATTTCCAGAAAGCATCCCTGAGGTCAAGTCCACTTACCTAGGCAATTCTTCCAGCTGAAAAAATCCATCACTGGTTATTCCCAGACTACAGCCTATGTAGAAAAACACAATGTAGACTCACATAAGACTGCTTTCTCTTGTAAAATGAGCATATTTATGCAAGAACCAAACACTTTTTCAGTTGACACACTCTCTTTAACAGTTTTGTTAAAGTCTCCACTTGAAAAGCTGCCAACCAAGTCTTTCCCAAGTTAAAATTTTAAAATTCTCTCTAGAAGCAGTAGTGATAGTTAAATAACTTTTAAATTTCTCTGAAGGACCAAGATCTTTTCACTTCTCATGAACAAATTCTTTGCTGGCTCTACTTTGTCCTCCAACCCCAAATGTAGGCAGGAAGCCATAGGCTGAACCTGGGCCCTCTTCTCTGCTTTTTTCTTCAAAGGTTTCATTCAACCAAACCTAACTGTGGAGGCATACAAATGCACAGTTTCAGTTTGGATTTCCAATTCCATTAATAACTTCTGCTGCACAACTCTACTTGGCTTCAGACTCAGTTCAGGGTGAGTATCCTTTATGCAAAATGTTTAGGACCAGAAGCACTTCAAATTTCATTTTTTTTAGATGTGGGAATATTTGCATATACATAATGAGATATCTTAGGGATGGGTTCACATTTAAATGTGCATAGCATGAAAGCAATAATAAAATATTTTAAAATAATTTTAGATTTGAAACAAAGTTTTATGGTGTGGAATTTTCTACTTGTGATATCATGCTGGGGCTCAAAATCTTTGGATTTTGGTGCATTGCACATTTTGGATTTTAGGATTAGGGATGCCCAATCTGCATACTTAGAATTGAATCTTAACTTTTTCTTCCGAATCACATCTCATTCTCAAATTCACCATTTCAGTGAAAGGAACCACATTTCCCCAATAATCTGGACAACACCTTTAATTGTAAACCTGTGATTCCGTCTCCCCACCCCATTACAAAATATACATCAGTCACTGAATCTCTTTACCAAATCTAAGCACAATGATTATAAGAGACATCCTGATCTCAGAGGTGATGAGTATTTTTAAAATTTGTGTCTTGGAATCAATGAGATAGAGCACCTAATGCTTCATTCTGTCTTTCCCACACAGTACTGGGGCTTGAACTCAGGGCCACGTGCTTGTGAGGTAGGCGCTCTAACACTTGAGCCATGCCCTCAGCCCTCATCCTGTCTTTTATACCCATTCTTTTTTGTAGGTCCTGGCATTAGAGCAGGAGGCTCAGTAACTATCTGCAGAACTGGACCGAGACCTTTCCAACACATTTCTGTATAAACACTAATTTAGAACCATATCCCCACCTTCAGCAGACAACTGCAACAGTTCTCCAACTGGTCTCCAACCTCTCTGTTCTCTCCCTTTCTAGTCACTGTCAGATTAGTTTCTAAAATTGTCACTTAGACCTTGTCCCTACTTCATTTATAAGCCAACCATTATTTTCCACAGTTATCATATATTTAGACATTCTTCTCTTTGGCTTGATGAGTCTTAACAATTTGGCCCTAACCCTAACCACTACTTTTCTGTCTGAAGGGAGCGATCATTACAGGGTTTTTTTGTTTGTTTCTTGGTTTTTGTTGTGCTGGGAGTCAAACCTAGGGCCTGGCACACGCGAGGTAGAGGATCTAGCACTGAGATTCACCCCAACCCATTGCAGGGTTTTCAGAATCCTTTCAATTATGCTTATGTCCAATATTCCTAACTAGATTCTAAGTTACTTGAGAAAAGTGTCCTGATATCCTTTATGGTGGGTGCGCTTTATCTTTGGGGGTCATGAACCCTTTTAAAATCTAGTAACAATTTATGGATCCCCTCTCCAAAGAGAAAAAAAAGGAAAAATGCATAAACACCAGAAATACACTCAGGATGGTCGTGAGTTTTATGAAGCTAATCCATGAAGAATACGAACAATGTATATATTATGCTCACCATCCACAAAGACCTCATAATCTTGGGGAGAAAGCCACACACTGTATTTATGAGAGGATATGGCAGTATGTTCATGATTTGACCCCGGGCCTTGGCTCTTTTGCATGTATAAAATACAAAGGCAGAGCTGGAGATGTACCTCAGCAGTGGGTTCAATCCCAAGCAGAAATAAAATAAAATGCAAAGGCAGAAATGGGCATCTCTGAGAATCTTACTAATTTAATCTTTCATAATTTCCTATGTAAGAGACAAGCACATAAAAAGGCTCAGCCAGATGTGGTGGTTCATGCCTGTAATCCTAGCACTCAAAAGGCAGAGGCAAGAAGATCAAAAGTTCAAAGTCTTCCTGGGCTAAATAGTAAGATTATGTCTAAAAAAATCCAAGGACTGGGGGTGGTTCTCAGTGGTAGAACACTTTACTAGGATGTGCGAGGCTCTGAGTCCAATCCCTAGACCCACGAAAATGAAAAGGCTTAACTCAACTAACTAGTAAAGCTATATCCTTACAAGATTTTTCTCCTTTAAACAAATAGTTAATATATCATGTGTCTTATAAATAACAACACATCTGACAAATAGAGGCTGGAAGCAATCTATACATGCAGAGAAGGAAAGGAATGAAGACCTTGCTGATTTCTCTAGTTTATTACAGGCAATATATACAGCCCCAAGCTAGATGAAATACTTTTCTGTCCCTCACTGGCTGCCACTCAGCCAGGTAAATTTAGGTTCTGCAGAGACCCTCTCTCATGGTTTTTCCCAAGAGAAAAGTATTCTAGCTGATTCCATGACATGGCCTGTGAGGCCAAGTGCACAGTAAACCCCTCCTGATCACTGTCTATACATAATGGCCTTAGGAAAACTCACCAGGGATCTGGCTCTCTTGAGGATGCGAGGGCACACCACCTGTGGCGATCAGGATGTGAGGAGCGGTGTATTTCTTCCCATTGACCTCAACTGTGGGCTGGGGACCATCTGTGAATGCTGCATGGCCATGGATGATTTCTATGTGGGACTGGAGAAGGAATGGCATGTTATTAAGATACAACCAAAACAACCAAGACAACTCATCAGCTTTTATTTTCCACTAAAGACTTTTATTTTTGGTTTGTAGATGCTAAGACAACTTGTCATTCACATTTCTGTAGAAATCTTGACTGGTACCATACTCTGGTGAGGGGGTTGCCATTACATGCCCAATGAGCACAAGAGAAAGAAAGGTACTGTCCTGGGCCAAAACCCAGAGAGCAAAAATTATATGCAAGTTTCACTAACAGGGAAAAAAGACATCTTTGACTCCAAGACTTGAGGGAGAAAGTCTTCCCTACTCATAATGAAAAGACATTGAAAAAGTGATGTGCTTGGAGGAGTGGAAGGATAAGAAAGCAAAAAGGAGAAAAGTAAAAAAAAATCTTTGGCCAAGGGTGGGAGATTCAACACCTCTGTTTTCTTAAAACAAATGGGAAACCCGGCACCAGTGGGTCATGACGCCTGTAATCTTAGCTACTAAGGAGGCTGATCAAAGGATCAAGGTTTGAGGCCAGCCCAAGTAAACAGTTCATGAGACTCCACCTCCAAAATAACCAGGCCAAAATGGACTGGAAGAGTGGCTCAAGCAGTAGAGTACCTGCTTTGCAAAGGTAAGTTCAAACCCCAGTCCCACCACAAACAAACAAAAAAACCCAACTAGGAATAGCACAAAACTACATGATAGTGAGGTTCTATAGTAAAGACACTGAAAACTTAGATGCTAACTTTTACTGGAGGGGTGAATCAAGTGATAAGAGAATCAGCCCCACAAGTACAAAGCCCTAAGTTCAAACCTAGTACACACACACACAAAAAAAGGATCTTTTAGATGCTAACTTTCTTACTGGCATCCTCTGCACAAAGGCTCAATTTGGGGACTGCCAGCAAGCTTCAGCCAGTTGTGATACATGTCCTGGCATGCAAATGTGAGCAACTTACAAGGATAATGGAACCATGTAAATATGTACACACAAGGCAGTGTTTCAACATTTTGGAACATGTTTAGTTCTTATTTCCTCCTTCCAAATCACCCCTCCAGGCCTGTTCCTACAGGTGCCTGGCTTAATCAAGTGAATTATGATCAATGCCAAAACCTACTAGCTTCCAGAATCCTTTCTTTGGGGGTAAGGAGCTCTCAAGGTGCTGCAGGCTGACTGACAATATCATTTCCTAGGATATGAGATAGAAAGTTTCTTTTGCTGTGCAGAATTTCTGGACCAGATGTAAATAATTCCCTTAACATAGGTCACAGTAAGTTCTACTATGCACTAAGATCTGCAAGTATTTTTTAAAATGCTGATTTCTTAGTAATTTTCCTACCTGTTTTGCAAAAGAATTTTAGCTAGTTCCATTTAAAAAAGCTGATGTAGCCACGTGCTGGTGGCTCACACCTGTAATCCTAGCTACTTGGAAGGCTGAGATTGGGAGGATCAAGGTTTGAGGCCAGCCCAGGCAACAGTTTTAGAGACCGCCCCCATTTCCAAAATAACCAGAGCAATAAAATGGACCGAAGGTGTGACTGAAGTGGTAGTGCTTTCAGGACTGAAGCCCTGAGTTCAAATCACAGTCTCACCCAAAAAAAAAAAAAAAGTTGATGTGGGTCTAGCAGTCCTGAGATCTCTTGTAGGCAGTGCATACAGAATGTAGGCCCCTAGGACTGTAAGGTCACAAAATATCCTCCAAAAAAAAAAATCCAATTAATGATTAGAACCAATATAAAAGTATATGAAGTTAACCATCTTTAGAAGAAACTCCTCTAAAAATTAGTTTATAAACATGGCTGCTAAGGAGATATAATCAAGAGTCTGGGCTAAGGCTGTGTGGTTCAAATGGTGAGTGCCTGCCTAGCAAGCATGAGGCATTGCATTCAAACCCCAGTGCCGCACACACACTTCAAAGAGTCCACCGTTATCTAAACATAACCTAAGCTATGCAGAAATCTTAGAAAATGCAAAGTAAGGGTAGTAGGAAATATGCTGTCAGGATAAAGAAGGGCTAGATGAGGCACAATTTGTCAACGTCACCAGCATGGTCCTGGGTGGAAAATGTGTGACACGTAAGCACAACGTGAAATAGCCTCAGGAGGTGAAGGACAACATATATTTGCTGGAGGCAAACAAGTTTGCCAGTTTTCTTGATTGGACTTCATTTATTTTCTGAATGATCATTTGCTCTAAAGAGTAGATCTAGTCACCAAGGACAAAACTAGGACAAAGCTAATTTGAGAAAATGAACAATTACAGGTTTTCAGCTAGACAGTGCTCCTTATTTTGATTAGTACACTGGCCCTTCTTGTATATAAGCCAGTCTCTCATGTGTTTGACTTCTGAATTAAATGGAGGGCTAGACCTATTCAAGATGCAGTCATCAGGTGAGACCTGGTCGATGGACCTTGGCACACACTGTCTATTCTGCACAAGGAAGAGACACTGGCCTACCAAGTCAGAGGTTAACTTCAAAACTGCTCATTGAAAATAAATAATAGAAACAATAGGACATAATCAAAGGTTATATTTTTATCTGGCTAGCCCATGTTACCTACTCCAGCAGCAAAGAGCTTCTCCTTCATGTTCAAAATCCTGCATACATACCTTGGTTAGATTATTTTGATAGATGGTATTCAGACGGCTCACATAGGCATCCCGCTTCTTCTTTATAACGCTGCAATGAAACCTGAGTTAGTACTCAGAAAAAGGATGTTCCTGAACAGCCAGCTATCAACAAGAATGAACTGAGTGACTGTGAGGACAATTGTCCTTCCCTGTGTTCACCCCCTATCCCACAGGTTCTAGCCTGTTACAGGTCATGGAGAAGGTTCAGTCAGCATCCATAGCATGTAGGCCTCTTTCTGCATGGAAAACAGTGAGAGCTGCTTTGGCATGGTACCCAGTACATGGTTGCCACTCAAGACATAGTATTGGTTGAAAAATTGCATAGATTTACTATTTTTGAAAATATGGTGGCTCCAAAAGTTTATGGCAGTTACTTAAGAACTGAAAGCAGGAATTAAACAGGTAGGCGTATACCAACGCATGCAGCAGCATCATTAGCTATAAAGTAGAAGCAATCCAATGACTAGAAAAACAAACTGGAACATCATACAATGGAATACTAATTTTCAGTAAAAGCATGGCTACGAAATGGACAAAACCTTGACAATGTTATGCTCTGTGAAATAAAACCCGGCCTGAAAGGAAAAGTATTATATGATCCTATTTATATGAAATATTTAGCATAGGCTAAGTTATAGAGACAAAAAGTGAATAGAAGAACCATGGGTACCATGGAAGGGGAGAATGAGGAGTTAGTATTTAAGGGGTACAAGAGTTTCTGTTTGGGATTGCGGAGAAGTTCTTGGAAATGGATAGTGCTGATGACTGCACAAAACTGTGAATGAATTTAAATGCTAATCAATTATACACTTAAAATGGGTAAAATGCTTATTTATTTACTGAGAGAGAGAGAGAGAGAGAGAGAGAGAGAGAGTGTGTATGTGTGTTTTAACAGTGCCGGGGAGGGTGTATCACAGTCAAGAGCTTTACCCCTGAGTTACATCCCCAGTCCTATGTGTAAATTTTACAACAGTAATACTCTCCCAGAAGTTTACAGCTAGATTATGAAAATACACACATTTGTAAACTGAACCTTTTAAGCACTAATACTTACTGCCAATTGAATTTACTCTCACAGCTCTGAAAGCCATAATCCACGTGATCATGCATGAATTCAGAGTGGACAGCTGTGTTCCACATTACCTATGAAAAAATAAGTACCCAAAACAGTCATGCATGAATGCTGAAGACAGAACTCATGAATGAATAGTAACCATGCAACAACAGATAAAAATACTGACCTCGAAATTAAAAACAAAACTGAACATATTAAGAAAGTTTGGAAGTTATGATCAGATGGATTTTACATTGCAGCTTCTGAGATAATCAGGAAAATTACATCTACTATTAATTTATCTACCTTGTAAATACTATAAAAGCAGAGTATTACAGGTCCAGAGTCATTCCTTTAACTATATAATTCCCACTTAAAATTTTAGATTTCTGTAAGCCTTGCCCAGTAAATGGAATGCATCTGTAACTACAGAATAGTAATTTAGAAGAAAAAGCTACGAGGTAGTTAGGGCTAAAAAGTTTAAGGTAATGGACTTCTACTAGGTTATTCCCTTATCAGGAGGCATGGAATTAGACATCTACAAAGCGAAGGTAGAATGCACCTTCTGTGGAATGCGCTCTGCACTCCATCAAGGTCTTCTGTGCCAGCTGTTCATTAGGATAGTGAGATGGGCATTCAGAACTCCAAGTAACAAACTACCACTTTCCTCTGCCAGACAAGACACTTTAAGACCAGCCCTTTGTACTTTTCTCCCTTTACACCCAAGATGATTAAATTGATGGCTTGCTGAGACTTTTTTTTTGAGACAAAGTCTGGCAATGTCTCCCAGCCTGGCATCAAACTCACAATCTTCTTGCCTCAGCTATCCAAAGTGCTACTAGGATTATAGATGTGCCCCCACCTCTCCATGCCTGCTGCAGATAGCTACTTATCTGCTAGATTCCTTTTTTCCCCCCAGTGTTGGGAATTGACCTCAGGCCTTGTGCATGTTAGGGAAGCACCTGACCACTAAGGTGCACCCACAGCCCTTGATTCTTAATCTTAATGCATTGGAAGATTTATCGATACCATACATAAATTGTTATGTTAATAAACATCACTTTACCTCTAGCATATGGTATCATGCTTATTTGCTTTCACTTTGTATTATTTGCCACAGTGTAGCACTGAATACCCTCTGGGGATGGTGACTCTGTATGACTTCTTTGGGCCTTTTGGCTCAGACTGAATCAGAATGGTAGGGGCCAAGTGGGTTCTCATCCTCTGGGTTCCTTCTCTATTGCTGCTTCATGCTACCCTTTCTGATAGGAGAAGTTACTCTGGGCTTCAGGCTGCTCTGCAAAACAAGAGGCAATTACCAACTGATCCTTAAGAATACAAAAGCACTTTGAAATCAGTAGAACCTTATAAAAATAGAAGATAAATATCTAGCAGATGTGATCAGAAGGAATAAATGAAACAAAGTATGGAAACAAAATATTACAAATTCAGATTTCTCTGCGCAATGATATTTTTAGAAATAACGAGGTAACATTAATCAACACTAAATAATTACTGTGTTGGTCTAAATGGCATAAACCACCTTATAACTAATTTACACATTTAATACATCCACAATTGCATGACTCCAAGTAGAACAAATTCCAAAATCTAGGACTAGGAGCTGAGGGTATAGCTCAGAGGTAGAGTGCTTGCCTAGAATGTACAAGGCCCTGGGTTCAATTCCCAGACTGCAAAAATAAATAAATAAAATGGAAGCTCAGTAACTAAACATTGTAAGGCTGGAGTTATAATGTGTTTTGAGAGTACAACTGGCCCTCTGTATCCATGGGTTCTGTATCTGCAGATTCAACAAGCCTCAGGTGGAAAACATTTTTTGAAAAGTATATCTATACTGACCATGTCTTGTCATTATTCCTTAAATATAGCATAACAACTTTTACAAAGCATTTGCATTGTATTAGGTATTACAAACAATCTAAAGATGATTTAGAGAATGCAAGAGGGTGTGCATAAGTTATATGCAAACACTGCACCATTTTATATAATGCACTAGCACATCCATGGATCTTGATATACAAAAACCAATCCCCATGCATACTGAGGAATGACTGTACACTCCAACAAGGCATAAAATTACTTGCAACTATAAGCAAGAAGCAGCTGTGGAAATAAAAGTTGCCAATTTTTCCTCTTTGTGAAGCATACAAATGAGTAGTCAATGTTGACTACACGACAGATCATGACTAAAAATCACAATTATGGTAAGAGAATCCACAAGGCTACAGAGCTTAGAATATTTGAGAAGATTCCATTCAATAATTTGGTTTGCTGGCTAAGTCTCCCTAGTGAGAAAAAAATTCTCTGTGATATAGGAACTTAGTAAAAGAACTTACAGCATGAATTTTCAGGGTGAATTTCTTTTGCACACGCTATGCAGTTATTGTCCAGGAGCTAATACTTTTCTGATTACTGCCTTAGCAGTACCTGGTTCCCTTTCTGAGTTGAAAATGCTACTCACTTGATCAGTCTCTCCTGCAAGCATAATTCAATCCTGGCCAAGAGGTCCTAAAGCAATCTGCAGACACTGCAGATAAGAACCTGCCTAGAGCCAGGTGTGGCCAAGGCTGGGTTTACTGTTAATTATACACCCAGGATGGCAGAGTGGAAAGTGGGAGAGACCAGAGTTCTTTCAGATGTACTTAAATGCTAAGTCAAGAACTGCCCATCTTCAGGCTTCCTACCCGGTGATACTAAAAAATACAAACAAAAACCATGTAATCACTCAAGCTACTTTTAGTTAGGTTCTCATTTATTGCAAAAAGAATTTTAACTGATACATCTGGAAATATCCTTATTCTGATCATGATTTATAAATATGAAAAAGGAGTGTAGAAGGAAAGAGAAATAAAAATTCTACCTTCTTTGGTACACATCCGACATTCACCTGTGGGGGGGGAAAGATGCAAGTTAAAAATAGTAAATGAAAACCAACAAACACACCTGGAACAAATCAAATAAACCCCAAGCATCAAAAAAGGAGATGCCCTTGAGTTCTAAGTCACAATGAATTAGATTCCACAGTTACTTCCTGTTTCCTATCACAGAAGTGGAAAAGAACATTACTTTACTTATGTGATAAGTGATAAAATAGAAAAAATTTTACTTATTAGATTTTCTCAAGGGGAAGGAGAGGCAACTCAATCATCTGAGCAGCTATATTAAAATATTTCTGGGATTAAGTGGGGCAGGGAAGGGGTTGCGGGGAGAGATGGTGAGGGCGATCTAACCAATGTACAATATAAGCCTATTTGGAATTGTCACAATGAATCCCTACCTGTACAACGAATATATCCTAATAAAGAAATTCTGAGAAACTTACTAAAAACATCTATGATGGCCTTTTAATAAAACTGCTAATGGAAACTTATGTTATCCCTCAGGCCCAAAGCAGTGAGACTCATCCCTGTCGGGAAGCCTTATGTACACATTACAGACAGACCACAAATTTGACTCAGGCTTTAGCAGCCAGTACACAAAGGAAAACACAGTTGCAAGATTTCATCCAGTAAAAACTCACGAGAAGCCAGGTGCTGGTGGCTCACACCTGCAATCCTAGATACTCAGGAGGCAGAGGTCAGGAGGATTTCGGTTTGAAACCAGCCTGGGCAAACAGTTCATGAGACTATCTCCAAAAAACCCATCACAAAAAAGGGCTGGTGGAGTGGCTCAGAGTGAAGGCCCTGAGTTCAAGCCCCAGTACCTCACACATAAAAAAGGTATCTACTTTTCTTCTGCTCGCCTTCTCTGGCTTCCCAGGAGCCTTTGAAAACCCAAAGGCTCATGAGGCACTAAAACATCTGAGCCACTCTCACCCATCAGTTTACCCTATATGCATGTGAAGCCATTTTAAATTTATTTGAGGCAATAAATAATCTTGTTGCTTCTAAGTGTCGAGATGGCCTTATCCACAGTGCCAAGCAGATGACTTTTTTTTGGCAGTATTGGGGTTTCAACTCAGGGATTTGAGCTTGCTAAGCAGGTGCTCTACCACAAGCTTTCAGACCTCTGGTTATTGAAAAGGAGTTTCTGCCTTTTGGCTTCTAATTTTTTTTAAACCTTGGAGCCATTCCTTTGTCCCAAAGCATGAATTAACCACACACTTGTGCCAGGCCTTATGCAAGGTAAAACACTAAATGGGCATACAATCCCTGCTGCTGTGGAGTCTCTCGTCCCAGCCAGAGAGGCTCTGGGCTTCTCCAAGATACCAAGATCTTCAAGGGGCAGTGGTAGAATCGCTATGTTCCCTAAAATCACAAGAGGACTGGACTGGAAATCAGATAAAAAGGGCGGTGGAAAGTCGTGGCCTTGGTACCGTAAGCCAGAGACACCCCAATGAAGCACAATTTAGGGCCTGGGGAGGTGACTGAAAGGAAGGCTGTGATCCTGAAATACTACTTGTCCTATTTCTGCAGCTCCTGAGAACAGGCCTCCAGGGTTATCTGCTGGTTTTAGACACCAAGTTCAGATGTCTCTTTGACTTGGAACAAAAACCACATTTAATTATCCTCAAAGCTGGGGAGGCTAGGAGCAGAGCTACGTACCCCATGCTCATTCCTTTTTCTCTTTTTAAGGTACTGGGGCGTGAATTCCAGGCCGCACGCTTGCTGGTCAGTGCTCTTACCACTTGAGCTACTCTACCAGTCCTCAATCATGCTCACCCCTTCCTCTTTTCCTTCTCCTCTAGCTGATGTGTGTAGGAGGTCTGAGAACACAGGCCTTGAGTCTTCCGGTCTGACTCTCAGTTCTCCCACTCAGTGGCTGTACGTGGGTGAGTTTCTAACTCTTTCCAAGTGGTTTCCTATTCCATAAGATGCAGTAAGAGGCTTTGAGATTACAGATCATGTAGATAAAGCACTGATTTCTAGTTTAGACAGATCTGATAAGGACATGGGCACCTCTGAATTATGTCTGCAGTCTGCTGACTCTCAAGGCTGTGGAGGAGGAGATAAATTCCCTGGCAGCTTCCTATCTGAAACAGATCTACTGATGCCAAGAAAGTTTGCACTGGGTTCTCCGGGCTCTGGCTTCCTAGAGGTGCACACAGCTGCTAAACGCTAAGCAAATGACACTTTCCACCTGACAAATTCCCTCACAGAGCCTCCATTCTTGGGTGGGCATTGACTAGAAATGAAAACCAAGTTTCTTGTGCTTTTTTTTTTACAGTCAACTTATCATCAGACTCTTACAACTCAGTCTCCCTTTCTAAACTGATGATCCATGCCTGAGAACTTTGTGTTCCAAGCTATTTAGTGCACAGAATCCTTCCACTCGGTGGGCCTGCCAGCATTGGCTCACATTATGGCAGAGATCTCTCCAAGTAGGGACAGGACACATGCAGGTGGCAAAATTCAGGGACTTCACCATTTTTCTTACACTGCCCCCCTTACCATAAGTTCTGCCTAAGGAAAATGCTTCACATGGCTCATACTGGTAGGTATATTACCTATCTTTCAATAAAGTGAACTTCCTTCCTGTTTTCTCTCTTCCATGCCCCACCATAGTTGCCTACAGTTTTCTCCTTCTGACTTTTTGCATCCTAAAATCTAGTTCCAGACCAGTATGAGGAAGGAGTACATAGAAAATGGACCAATCAGCACTTAAAGAGCCTGGTCTTTGTAGCATGTCATCAGCTTTACACCAACAGCAACTAAATAAATGTTAGATGTTGTCTAGGTATCAAGTAGTCCTGTCTCCTGCACATATAAAATGTTCAATATCCAAGACTCCACCTTTCAAAGCCTTTTTCATTTCAGATAAAGGTTAGTCCAGGAGGCATCAAGCAGAGGGAGGGAGGGAGGGAGGGAGGGAGGAAGGGAGGGAGGGAGGGAGGATTGATTCTGAGCAAAGCAGAATGAACTAACACATTTGCATGAGGTATTAACTAAACTGGGTGCTGGTGGCTCACACCTGTAACCCTACAATACTTGGGAGGCTGAGATCAGGAGGATGGATGTTCGAGGTCAGCCTGGGCATAGCTCCTGAGACCCCCAACATAACCAGAGTAAAATGGACTGGAGGTGTGGCTCTAGCTGTAGAGCACCTGCCTTGTGAGTGCAAAGTTCTGAGTTCATACTCTAGTCCCACAAAAAAAAAAAATTGTGTTTGCTTAATATTTAGCTAAACAGAGTATGTGATTAACCTGATCTTCCCAGTTCCAGGATTCATCAGACTTAAAAGGATTGTTACTCTGGGAGCTCTGTGAGACCAGACTCTTCGGGAAAATCTGACTTCCACTGCAGTGATAGTCTAGCCTGCTATCTCTTGTCCCTCAAACAAAAGGATCTGGGACCCCACATTCTATTAATGTTGCAACACCCAGTGAATAAATTGTTAGTAAACGTGACTGACCGGAATCTACTTCCAAATGCCAAAGGTTATTAGTATTTCCATATCATTCCTTCAATTTCAGTATATTGCTGCTTTTTACAAGTGTATTTGACATACAGAAAGTCTAGCCAGGAGCTGGTGGCTCATGCCTGTAATCTTAGCTACTTGGGAGACTAAGATTGAAAGGATTGCAGTTCAAGGCCAACCCAGGCAAACAGTGTGAGAGACTTCTCCCATCTCCAAAATCACGACAGCAAAATGAACTGGAGGTGTGGTTCAAGCGGTAGAGTGCCTGCTTTACAAGCATGAAGACCTGAGTTCAAACCCCACTCATAAACCACCTCTGCCAGGAAAAAAACAACAACAACAAAAAAACCCCAAAAAACTGAGAATTCACTTCTTTTTCTGGCCCTGCAGACTTAGTGGGTTCTGAGGCAGACTGCAAAGCAGTGTTATACTAAGATATTAAACAATCAATGAGGTAAATGAGCTAGGTTCAACAACAGGAGTTGCCTACCCCAACTAACCCCACCTACATGAATGACCACTCCTTTACTTGACATTTATGAATATAGGTGGGCCCCATTTTGTTAAATTTCAAACCCATGGGAAGAATTAGGGTAGTTTTTGGTTTTTAAGGGACACCTGTCAGTGGTGAAGGATGACAAGGTTTCTTTAAACTGCGTTCCTTTTAGTAAGCTGCATTTAGAAATGCACTCAGCCTTATCAGGACACAGGCTCACAATATCAGAGTACCCACTATTACTTCCCAAGCGGGTTATGTTTTGCATACTGCTAAGTAATTGTTTGCAGACTAGGCGAGCCATAACCCATTACCCATTGTCCACTGAAGAGTGGTGAGTTTCTCCAGTCAGCACTGGGCAGCACAGGTCACTGCGACTTAGTGATCAAGAAGGCTGTACCACTTGATCGACCCTTACCACCCAACTCTCATTGACGGTACCTACTGAATGCAGAAACTGGTTCCTCTGCTCCAGAATCAACACGAACTGGGAGCGAGGCTCTGCAGGCCCTGGGGCAAAGGAGCAGCAACAAAGGGCAAACCTTTCCTCAAGCTGACTCTTCCAAGGTCTGCGTGGGCAGAGATCTGAGTTGTAGACAGATGTTACCAGAGGCTCTCACCCACCTTGACACTGTGCAAGCTTTGCACTGCTCTTTGGTCTGCATGTCATCATGAGAGAAACTCTGGAAGACTTCAAAAAGTAAATTCAAAGAACATCTCACCATCTTGTGTATTTTTTCTGCCCTCAGAAATAACTACCGCGGACACGGGGTTACCCTTAATGAAATTTTAGGGGAAAAAGATTTCTTTTGGTTTCCCACTTTTAATATCTAACTCAATCCCCTACAGCTACAATTTTTTGCCTGATTCCGAAAATTAAGGCACATGCTTCTCTCTGTGGCTTAACCACTAGAGCTCAGCAGTAGCTCTGGTCCCTACTGCTCGTGGCCCTAATATGAGCCAAGATCTTATACTTGAGCTTCTTATTCCTCCTTCTCCCCCCTTGAATGTGTTCAAGTAATAGACTCTATTAA